TTTTTTTTTTTTTTTTTTTTTTTTGTCTTTTTCCGTGTCCGGCAACGGATCGCAACCCTCAGTGTTGCCCCCGCACCGGACGGGGGACCGGCAATGGGATCGCAACCCTCGGTGTTGCTCCTGCGCCCCGCTCAGCCAGTGAGCGGGAACCGGTCTACATGTGGGATCCGAACCCTCGGGCGGGAGCGCCACCGCGCTTCCCAAGCAGCGCACTATCCAGTGCGCCACCGGGCCGGCCCCGACGTTTTTAAAGTAGGAAAAGGAATAAAATAATTGCATTCCCTCATTGTTTAAGTTAGCCATGTTTGGCTTCATTTGTTTGCAAACAAACAACCTTAACTAATACACAATACAAAAACAAATAGCACAATACAAAAAGTAATATAGCTGTTCAGAACATGGAGTCTTCAGTGAGATATTCCCTAACAGTTTGGATATAAGGTTGCTATCTGAGTATAATTTTTAAAACCCACAGACAATATGGGAGTAAATCAAGAGACTGGGAAGTTTGGGAACTGAAAAATCTCCAGGAAAATCATATCAGTGTAACTTCTGGGAGGCAGTACTAGGAAATGATTGAAATTTAATAAATAGAAACCAACTATATGATTCTGTATTTAGAGAAAGATCATGTGCAGCCGAGGGGCTTATTCAAGCATAGGAACACATGAAAAGGAGAGTCAGAGGAAAGTGTTGGTAGTTCCCACCCAAGCACTGTCTGGAGGAGAGAGAGCGGTGGCCAAGAGGAATAGAACATTTAGCTTTCCTTGGCAGAGTCATCCTCATGATGTGTAAGAGTACTTCAAGCTTCCCCAGTTGAAAGCTACTTCTTAAGGTGAACAAATGCCCTTGCTCTGATTTCAGGCTCACCAAGCAACCTTCTGAGGTTGTGGCTTCCCAAGTGGCAGCTTGTTTAGAGGGATAGAATGGGCAGGTAAGACTGACAGAAACCTCCAGTACCCCTGACAGTTGTTTTTCTCAGGGTAATTATTCAGTCATCACTCCTGTTGAGACTTAGCTTCCCTTGTGCCCTCTCTTACAGGGAGAGAATGCAGAAACCCATGGGTTTGAGCATTCAGATCTAGATTTAAATATAAGTCTCTATGAATGGGAGTCTTTCCTTGACAGAGGTATCTGTTTTCAGCATACAGAAAAAAATCAGGACTTGATCATGCAATGCTGAGGACAAAACCCTGAACTGTAGATGCAACCTTGTGGAATCCTGCTGGGGAAGCCAGGTGGCCTTGGTTCAAAAGACAACCTCATGCATTGCCATTTCATAACTGTACCTTTCTAATGTTCAGTTAATGTGGAAATTAAAACTAAGACACGTTGTGGCAGATAGGACCCCAGCCTCTCAATCACAACCAGACAAAGGGTTAATATCCAAAGTAGTTAAAACGCTCCTGCAAATCAACAACAACATCTGAAATAGCTCGCATTTCCCTCTGGGAAGGAAAGGGAGTGCATTTTACATTTTACATACCCTATCTGTTTCCTCAGCAAAAGAGGTGGGCATTGTGCCCAAAACAGACCACCTAAAGCTCTCTTACTAAAATTTGAATCTTGAGCCAAGAGATAAAAACCTGAGAGACCATCTCTCAATTCCTCCTACCTAGACCCTTCAGAGGTGACCCTGGTCTTCAACATTCCCTCCTTGTGTTAACTGGGCTTGGTTTCTGTTGTTTGCCAACAACTTTAATTAAGACACAGTACAAAAACAAATAACATAATACAAAGAGTAATCTAGTTTTTCAAGATAACAATCTTCTATAATGTTTTTTCACCCTCCACAATTCCATTAGAGTTACCATCTGCTGACTCTCTTCTTTTGTTTTCCTGTACTTTATAAGTCATATATCATATGTGACCACATACTGGTTTAAGCCAAAAGGTTCCTTTGACAGTAGTTTCACATAGTCTTTTGTGGGCTCAGGAAATTTTAACAAGCTTGTCTGAGGACTTGCTCAAGCATTTTCCTTTTCCGCTTGTGAAATGGTATGCCAGGCACGTAATAGATCCTTAGATAAATATTTGTTGGTGGATGTATGATGGAGAGCAAAGTAGTTTTTAAATGCTAGTCCCCAGGTTCCCTGCATCAGAGTGCATCAGAGTGACAAAGAGGTAAGAAAATTGAAAGAGTTATCATGCCCGTGGGGTTCAGGAAGTTTTAGAGAGAGTGGATTCAAACCAGAAAAGGTCTGACAGATTGGGAGAATAGTGGTCAGAGGTTATACATTACAATAATTGGAGCCTATATAAAAAGGAAGAGATACTTTATGCCAGTAAGGAGAGGTGAGAGTGAAGCTTTTACCCTTGAAGCCTGGCTAAGTGTTGTAAAAATGAGTTTATGCTGTAGAGCCATGTCTAGGACACTAAGGCATTTGTCTTTGTGAAGCCGTACCTGCTCCTTAGTTCCTTCTAGTGTCTATACTCTGTATCCTAAACAAATAAAAGCTGCTTATCTGAGTCCATAGCAGCCAAAAACTGAATGACGGACAGTTGAATCTAAGAGTTCTGTTAGTAAGTTTTCATAAACAGAATTCACTTGTCTAGAAGTAAATAAAGGGTCATGAAAAGAACAGCATAAGGAGATGATGGCAAAATAAATGAGGTAGATATTTAGAGAGATGGACTATAAAAGTTTAAAGAAGACCAGAAAGTTGTGACATGTTCTTGACTTCTGAATATTTGCCAACAAGGCACTATGAGCTCCCTGGCTCACCTCCTATAAGGGCCTTCCACACACAGGGGCCCCTCACAAGGGGGCCTCCGCTGGGGTGTCATATTTCAATGTTCTAAGAAGAGGCTGCCAGGAGGGTCTATATTTAGAGTATGATTCCACAGCAGGGACAGGTGGATGTCTGGGGACTAACTCCTGCATACTTTGTCCCTGAGTTCTGGGATTATTCTGAGGAGCTTGTACGGGTGGTGCAGTGAAGTAGTAAAAGAAAGCAGGGAACAAAAAAGCCACTTTCTCCTGGCAACTGCTTGGGATCCTGTACCCTGTCCTTCCGTTTGTGAGGGGAAAATGACACGGACATCAGGAGTGTTGCAGTGATTCACAGTCACGCAAAGACCTTCACCACCATCTCCACTGCAAAATGCTGTACTGCTAGGGTGACATATACTACAAGAATGGCAGATACCGGAGACACCTGACCAGTGTCATGATGGAATGAAAATTCCCTCTCAAAAGCCTCATTTTCTCATGAAAATATCAATGAGGTAATAGGGAATTCTCTAATTTCTGGATAATTTATGGGTTGTACCATGAAACTTCAGAATAGATTTTAAATAAAGCCCTTTGAATGAAAAGCAGGCTAGTCTGTGAAGTTACTAGTTTCTAAAATTTATCTGAAGATGTAAGATTCATCTGAAGTTGAGATCGGCATAAAATCTGTCCTTTGAAGCCAGTGTGAAAGCCATCCCACAGTCTTCTATGAAGATCTCAGTAATCTGCGACGTAAATACTATGAGTTCAGCCAAGAAGAAGAAGGGGGCAGTGGTTCACTTATCTAAAATGGTCACGATTAGAACACTGACTTTCTCACTACAGATTCATTTATTCATCAATTTATAAATCATACTGAAAGTACAATGGTTTTGTTTGTAAGGATATATTTTTAAATTTTCATATGCTGTTTGAAAGCTATTTCCTGTGCAGTCAAAAGAAAGTATTTTCAGTGTGGCACAAATTAACTTCACCGAATCAATGAGGCTTCCCTATTAACTGGGAAATCTTTTTAAAAATTTTTGAATTCTTTTTTCTCCAAGTAGAAATAGCTTTATTCTACTTTCTGATTATAAAATAGTGTAGCTCGAGTCAATAAAAAAGAAGGACGAAAGGGGACATAAATGTATCACAAATACTAATAAAAATCTCACTATTACCCGGGCTTCCTTTTCTGCCCGTCCCCCAATTTTGGTGCAGAGACTGAACGTGGAAAGGGGCAGAAATTAAGGAAGGGGGTGTAGGAGTTTCAGAGCCAAAGAAAAGATGGGCCAATTTCCCAAGAAGTATAAGTGAAAAGGGTAGACCCAGGAAAAGACGTTGCCCTTTCTTATAATTAGAGAAAGTCAAATTCAAACACCAGAGGGACAGTCACTTCTGGTTTCTGGTATTGTTATAGAGGAAAAGAGTGACAGGGCCCAGTGTGACGGGGGTCGGGGGGGAGGTACGGGGCAGGCTGGCGCCTGCCGCACTGCTTGTGGGAGTGGAAATTGGGGGCCAGAGCTCACTGGTGACGTGGTCGTCACGTGACCAAGAGCCGCCTAGAGCAGAAGTCCTGCTAGTCGCCTCGGTCTGGGTACCAGCCCCCTATTACTCTGCTGGCCTGTGAAGGAAGAAGGAAACTAGCTCGGACCGTGCAGGTCGGTGCGAAGGTGGGCGCTGCTTGGAAAGGGGTGGGGGTGGGAGAAGGCCAGGAGCGCCGCGGATCCAAGTTTGGGCCGCTCGCAGCTGTGTCCCTTTCTCGCCTACTTTCTAAATACCGCCCCCCGCCCCCACCCCACCCGTGCTCATTTCAGTGGCGAGAAGTGGCGGGCTCGGGGCGGGGGTGAGGGCAGTGAATGGTGGTTACAGAGACTCCGAGGAAAGAAATTTCCACAACCGGGCGCCCGTGTCCCGGGTGCTGGGCCGTCCCCCAAGCACTCCGTCCCCTCGGTCCCCTGTCTGTTTGCAGGTTTGTAGGTCTGTTGGCCTGGAGGTCGCGGCGCAAGTGTCGGCGAGACAGAGAAGCAGCAAAGTGCCTGGGTTGGGACCGCGCAGGTCGGTGGGAAGGCGGCATTAGCCCGGGACTGTGGGTGGGGGTGGCGGAGGAGGGGGCTGGGACGTGTGCGGGCCGGGTCCGAGTCGCCCTCTCCTGGCCCCTTCTTTCTCCACACCCCCTCCCATTTCAGTGCAGGGAAAGGGGTGTGGCGGCCTTTGCTGGGGAAATGGCGGACGACAAGGGGGGCGGAGGAATCCCGTGTTAGGAAACTCGGGAGGGTGTGAGAAATATTTTAAACTCAAAGGCCTAAAATTCAGAAAAGCGGACCGTGGGACCTGTGTCGTCAATGCTGATCCATCGCCTACACTTTCAGGTCTCCACTGCCGCCTGTCTTTCCATTTGTCCTTCTGTCAGACTCTGTCCCTCTACAAGTGAAGGGGGAATTCACCTGACTTTGGTAGAGGCTGGTGGAAGAAACTGCCTGTGACTCTTTGGGGGTGGGGGTGTGGTGAGCAAGGAGACTACCCGAGGGTTTGACTCTCGCTGTCACCCTCCTGGCTTTCATATACAGTCCCATCTCCTGCCCTTCTCTGTGGGGCCTGGAAGAGAAATGGTGGACCCTGAGGGTGGGTAGGAGAAGACTGAAAAAAACAAGTAGTTTTCTAATAATCCACCTTTCTCACCAAGAACCCAAATTCCACTCTGTCCAGTCAGGCACAAACCCAGGCATAGCCCAAAGCCTAATACTCTTCTTTTACCTATAGATTCATCACAAGAGAGCTACAGGAGCCTGTGAGAGGCTGAAGATTTCTAACCTCTACCATTGCTCACCTCGGCCGAACAGTCCTCTTCCATCAGGTGGAACAAGGCCCTCTCCTGTCCTGGCCCAAGGCTGGCACAGACTTGAGCATGGGCCGGGCTCGGGAAGTGGGTTGGATGGCAGCAGGACTGATGATTGGGGCTGGTGCCTGCTACTGCGTTTACAAACTGACCATAGGAAGAGACGACAGTGAGAAGTTGGAGGAGGAGGAGGAAGACGAATGGGACGATGACGAGGAGCTGGATGAGGAGGAGCCTGAGATTTGGTTTGATTTCACAACTATGACTCGGCCCTGGAGTGAGGATGGGGATTGGACTGAACCTGGGGCCCCAGGAGGCACTGAAGACAGGCCCTCAGGGGGGGGCAAAGCCAACCGAGCACACCCAATAAATCAGAGGCCATTCCCCTATGAACATAAAAACACTTGGAGTGCTCAAAGCTTTAAAAATGTCGCTTGTATTCTTGACCTCTCCAAGTGTCCTTTCATTCAGGGAAAAATGTTGTTTGCGAAGCCCAAGGATGCTGGTTTTCCATTCAGCCACGATTATATCAATAGTCATTTGGCCAGCCTCTCTATGGTTGGAAACACGATCCCCACTCCCGACCCCACTGTTAGGGAGAAGGCTTTGTGTGCCTTGGATAGCCCGAATGCAAGTTTTGAAAATCAGGGCCAGATTGAGACATACATCGACGAAGTGTGTCGGGAGACTGTGTCACATTGCTGCAACTCATTTCTGCAGCAGGTCGGATTACATTTGTTAATAAGCATGACAGTTATTAATAACATGCTTGCCAAGTCTGTTTCAGACCTGAAGTTTCCTTTGCAATCCGAGGGAAGTGGATGTGCGAAGGTTCAGGTTTTGAAACCTCTGATGGGTTTGTCTGAAAAGCCAGTCTTGGCGGGGGAGTTGCTCGGTGCCCAAATGCTGTTCTCATTCATGTCACTCTTTATCAGAAATGGAAACAGAGGGATTCTCCTGGAAACCCTTGCCCCGTAAATGGCCGTCTCGAACAGAATGGGGCGGAATCCACTCAAAACCCATTTGGTTTATAGATGTCAGAGATTCTGCAGCGGGTGCTACCGAAGATCCAGCCTTAGCCAATCACCACATCACTGGGTGAAAGTCCCAGTTGCTAAATCGAGGACCACTCTCTTATTGGCCAGGCAAGGCTCCCACAGAGCTTTGAGTGACTTCTTCGTTTTGCAGTCTGCAGGCGATGTGCATTTGTAAATTACTCTCCTGCAACCCTTTTCATGTGGTAAACGGATCACTTCGGCTGCCAGCTGTGAGTAAAGAACACCAAACTATAGCATCAGGAGCGCTGTTGCTACCTGTGGTGGTGTCCCTGTCTAAACGGGACCACTTTGCAGAGACCAGACTCATATCGGAGCTTGTGCTGAAAATGCATTTGTTGCTGCTTAGGTTGGCTTCTGTTTCATTTACTCTTTCTTCTACATGAGCTGATGGATGGTGAACCTATTCATCAGAAAAGTAAACTCCCCTTCTGTCTACTGTCCTGACGTAACCTCCTCCACCCAAGTCTGCATCCGTGTGTATCATCAATAAAGTCGTGTGCTTTGATTAGCAAAAAAGAGACATGGTCCTTGTCCTTGAGTTTACAGTCTACACGAAGAGAAAGACAAAGATGCACAATAAGCGCCAGCTGACTGGGGCGTCTGCTTCCCGACAAGTGCAAGCTTATCAGTGCTCACAGGAGGCAGGGGTAGAAACGGGCTGCTGCGGTGCTCAGGATAAGCTTCAGGAGGGGGTGGGGGCTGGAGTGGGAGGCGGTGGA